ATAAAGGTAGTCACCACTTGATAATAAAGGATCAGGTCAATAATAAGATATGTTAATATGCACCTAAAGTACCCAGTTTCATACACAAACATTTTGACATGTGGAGACAGGTTCCAATACAGAAATAGTGTGGAATTTCAGCACTCTGCTTTGGTTAATGAACAAGTTGTCCAGACCTCCTCCTAAAGTCAAATCAATACCAGAGTTAAGTTATAAAAATAAATCATGTAACTTCATACCCAGTAACTACAGAACACATTTTCCTCAGTTTAGGATTTCTCTGAAACAGATTATGTGTTATGTCACAAATTTAAAAACATTGAAATCATATTCTAGATCCTTTCTGATCGCAATGATTGATGGAGCTGGAAACCAGTTAACAAGTGAACCTCTGGATGAACATAAAGTGAAGCATAGGGCTGGGACAACACAGGGCAGTGACTCACTGAGGAACTGAGGGAGATTAGTGCCCTTCCCAGGCCGGCAGTCGATAGCTGCTAGAGGAGGGGAGTCGTTCTTGGAGGGTCTATCAGTTACTTTTCTGTTGCTATAATAAAACACCACGATCAGGGCAGCTCACAAACGAGAACGTTTAGTTGGTCCTACAGTCAGGGAGTGTAGAGTCCATGATGGCAAAGGGAAGGCATGGTGGCAGGAACAGCTGCGCGCTCACATCTCAAACCCTAAGCAGGAGGCAGAGAGCACACTGAGAATGTCATGCGTCTTTTGAAACCTCAGAGACTGCGCCCAATGACACACCACCTAATCCTTCCCAAACATATCTGCCAACTGGTGACCCAATATTCAAACATATAAGCCTATGGGGGCCATTGCTACTCAAACTACCCAGGGAATGTGGCTCCTGGTAGGTTTCCCATGCTCCAGTGGATGGCCTACACTAGTGCACATGTGGGCAGTACTAATTAGACTTAGTAAGTTACAAAAAGCAAAACAACAGCAAATGACATGCAGTTACAAAGGGAAGCTATTGGGGGAAGGGGACATTGGTTTACATTTTTATTGTACACATGGGGGAAATTCTCAACAAATAAAAAGTTATAATAGAAATACAACCCAACTGTGAGAAGGAGTAACACACCCTATGGTAACATCCTACGGTTACATTTAAGAAACTTTGCAAATGCCCTGTTGAGGTATCTCAAGGACTTAGAAAAGCAAAAACTAAACTAAATGCAAAATAATAAAGATCAGAAATAAAACAATACAAAAGATCAGCGAAGCCAAGAGTTGGTTGCTTGCAAAGATAAAGATGGAAACATAAGTGATTCAACAGAAAGTTAATGCATTAATGGGATGATTAAGAACTGCTGACTAGTTAGAAAACCCCTGAGGATATAAACCACATGAATAGAATAGTAATAAGTGATGGACAGAATTCCTACCATACAGCAATGCCCTTCATATTATTTAAACAGTAGCTCCCATAATCATTCAAGCAAGGACTATAAGGACCATGGTGTGTTGCCCACTACAGCCTTGCCGGTAGTGCCTTAGAAAGATTTGGGGGACAGACTTCTTGAGAGAGTTTTGCCCCATGTCCTTATGGTTTGGAATGTCCCTCCCCAAACAGCTCAAGCACTGTGACTGAAGCCTGGGCTAGCTTCCTTGCCATCCTTTCTCCCTGGATTCTCACTTCATTTTTGACTCCTCAGCCAGATACTAGAGCCGTCCTCAGAGGCACAGATGCCTTGGGTTACCCACACACAGAGTGGTGTCTTCGTCTCCATTCTTTCTGTAATCTGTGAGGCTCGTGTGGTGACATCACAAATGCTGTCGAGGGATTGTGTGTTGCACACTTTTTTGTTCAGACCATTCGTTATCATTTTTCTAATCTGTCTTTATTAGCCCATTCCAGAGTTCACATTTTTCCATTCTTTAGTGACTTCTTTTAAATATCCAAAATTATAGTTTCATTGTAGAATTAAATGCTCTGTCACTGTTGCTTTGTCTGAGTCATGTCATTCCCCAGCTTGCTTGGAGAGATCAGTAGAAAGGATGCTGCTGGTACCTGTCAGGCCTCTGCATATACTATTGCCTCATTCACTGCTCATACTGGAGTGTAGGGAGTCCTGGGAGGTAGGTATTACCAGCCCCATTTTATGGGAAGCTGAGACATTCCAGAAGAAAAGCCTAGGTAAACTGCACAAGGGAGGAGAGACAGCAGGGCTAGATTGCCTGGGTCTGAACCACTGTTCTGCTACTCACAGCTGTATGACACAATTACTTAGCCTTTCTGTGCTTGTTTTTTTTTTTTTTCTCCTCCTCCTGGGTGGCTTACTATAGCTCCTGCCTCAGAGGGTTGCTGTAAGCTTTGACAGTGACCTGTGAAATGGTTAGAAGGGTCCTGGCTTAGGACCATAACTCAATAGATGCTATCTGGGTAAAGAATAGATAGGCCAGTTGAAGCCCTCCCCACAGTGTGACCAACCTAGAGGGGCCATCATCAGTTGAGTGCCCAGCTCACACTGAGCCTGAAGTGAGCGGAAGGGACATGGCTCTTCCCAGCCATCCTTGGCCTTGTGGGGTTTCTATTAGCCTCTTCCAATCTCTCATTCAGGCACTGACTCGCTCATCTTTTCAGTGTTACATCTAAGTGTTATAATTTGATGCAGAATACTTAGAAATCCAAGTGATTTCAAGATGGTATTGCTCTACCTGCATAAAATTTTTTCAGCTTTGTGAAAACCATATCAGATACCAGTCATGAAACTCAGTTTGTCTTCTTCATCTTTCTGTGGTTCCAGAAAAGAAAAGAAAAATAGATTCTGGGTATTTTATTGATGAGTTTCCTAGAGTTGAATTTTGTTGGGCTTTCGATAACAACAGGAGTAGGAATTCCTGGGCCATTCCATGTCATTTCAAGAGAGGCAGAGAAAAAAAATCTAAGAGGAGGTTAGCAGGCAGATGAAAACCGACTCGGGTCAGAACATGCAGAGAAGGCCTCTCACTCCACATGCGTCTAACTGGCACATAACCACATCCGCTTAGGGCCTCGTCAGCGGCAGATGCACACCCACTGACAGGTGGTTAGTAAAACAACTACATATGTCTTCCAGAGCAGATTGCTCACCTTACAGTGGGGAAGCTGTGTGGGAGTGGGGTCATCCTCCTTCCTGGGTGTACCAGCAATTAACTATGTGCTGTTTGGATGACTGAGTCATCCAGTTCCCACAGTGGGATAATGCAGACAACACAGCTTAGTCACTAGTGAAATAGAAATGCGTTCCTGAGAGCAAAGTTTTTCCACCAGGTAAGTACCCAGGAATTGAGAACAGCCTTATCCACCCACAACAACCAAGCTTTACCCACCCACCCTGTCACAACAGACAAGCCTTACCCAACAACCCATAACAACACCCCATCCTTACTCACCACCCATTACAACAGCGCAGCCTTACCCACCCACCCCCAACAAACAGCCACGCCTTTCCCACCCCCATCTCAACAGCACAGCCTTACCCGCCACCCCTGTCACAACAGCCAACCCTTACCAACCCATCACAAAAGTTCAGCCTTATCCACTCACATCCACTATAACTAGACAGTCTTACCCATTGGTACCATAACTATCACAATAGCGCAGCTTTACACCCTACACCCATCACAGCAGTGTAGCCTCACATACCCTCCAACCCATCACAATTGTCCAGCCTTACCCACCCATCACAATGATGCAGCTTTACCCTCCCTGAAGCCATTGTAACACCTTCAGTGTGGTCACTAACTCACATTCACATAAAATAGGTCAAATATACAATTGAACTGCATCCCACAAGTGTAAACTATACCTGTACATAGCAGACACAGACATAATGCTCAGTGCTCTGCTTGGAGCTTTTCGTGCATTCATTTTATCTTTTAAAACAGCCCTATTACATAGACCATTTTGATCCCTATTTCACATAGAGAAACTAAGGCATAGAAATGTTAAGTGGCTTGCTCAAAATCACACAAATAGTATGTAGCAGAAAATATACTTAGATTTGGAAAGTCTAGCTCAGCTTTCATTAACTGTGATATCCTTTAATTATAAGTACACGGAGAAATGTGTTCATTTTAGTTAGGTACAAACTATATTCATCTTATAAAATGTAAGAGGAAATTATTGCTGCAGATAAAAGAGGAGGAATGATAGATCGATTCAATAGGAGGACATACCACCCTAAATATATATGCGCCCTATAACACAGCTACAAAACAGAGCAAAGATCAGTGGAACAAAAACAGTACAAAGACAAGTCCACAGTGAGAGCTGGTAATTTCTGCACATCTTTGTCAATAAAAGAACAGGGAAGGCACACACACAGGCCCACATGAGAGTTATCTTCTTAACTGACACCCAAGAATGGTTGCTTTGCAGTGCATATGTCTTCAACATCAGCCACGTGCTGGATCATAACATCTAAGACAACTAAGACAATTTTCAAAAAGGCTGACATCTTACATAGTGTGTTCTCAGTCCACAGTAAAATTGAGTCCATAACTGATGCCAAGGATAGCTAGAAAACCTCCAAATATGTTGAAATTAATAGAACAACCCTAATTGAGGGTTCAGAGAACTCACAGCTGAAGTATTGTAATGTGGCAGTAAAGAAATTGCAGTGCACAGACTGCAAGACAACTAAAGCAGGGCTTAGAGAGGGAGCCAAAGCTGCAGTGGAAGAAAAAACTTTGGATAGCAGTAGCTTTTTATCACAAGCTGAGGGGAAATTGAGCAAGTCAGTCCCAAATAAACAACTAGAAATAAAAATGTAAGGCGAAATCAGTGAAATAACAAATCAGGCATGTGATAAAAACAGAACTGAAAGTAGATTCTTTAAACTGGCAAATTACAATGAAGCATAAGAAGTTTCTTCATGCCCTTAAAGTGGGGTGTTTAAGCCCGTCTTCTCCCACATGCACTGTATGCCCCTAAGCAGTGTTAGCATGTCAGTTCCTCTTTCTAACTATTCTCCTGTCTCTGTTTGTTCCATGCTAAGCAGACGGCCCAGAAATTAGCCAAAAGCAGGAAGAAGGTGCAGTACAAACAACTTCATCACTTGGTGTTACGCCTGTCCTTTTCTTTTATGTTTTGCCTTTTTATGATTTTGTGTTTTTGTTTTCTGCATCCAGCAAGTTTTTTGTTCCAATTCGTTTCGAATCGCTCCATAAGCCAGCCTTTCTCCAAACTTAGTTGCCTCAAGTGGCCATTTTCTGTTGCTCATTTGGTCATTTCACTTCAGAGGAACGACAGGGAGCAGATTGGAGATGCTAAATGAACCCTCTAGTGTGGAAGCTGCAGCCATTCAGGAGCAATGATGTGGCAGGGGCCTGGGACTACTCAATTGCAGTACATTCGATTTGAGGATTTCTCAGATTGCTGGATGCAAAAAAAGAAAACTCGCTAATAACCACACATGTGCAGGGTTCAGCCCTAAATGAGGCAGGCTGCACTTTGGGGATTGTAGAGCTTCTAGGTATTTGTAAATTACTCGGAGGATGTGGGGCATTGGGGGCTCTTTTGTAATGGGGTGGCTGCAGGAGCAGGCAGCTGCTTCTGTGTTGCTGTGGTGTTGTGTGAATATGAAGACCCTCTTACCAGAACCGCATCCAGTGGCTTCATTTGCACCTACTATAGACATTGTCCTCCATCAGCTCTGACAGTAAACTGAGTGACTGTTCCATGGTCCTCACTATGAGTTAGCTGCTCTTACCCTTCAGCCTCCAAAACCCTTGCAGAAAGGGCCACTTGCCATCATGTCCAGAGTTAATCTGGTGCAGTGACTGCTGCTGTAGCGGGAGCAGCAGAGGGGACTCTTCATTCCCCTGTAACGTAGAGATGCTAACTCTTGCCCATGTGTCCATCCTCTCTGTAGTACCTTCAGCTTTGGCAATTTAACCCTTGAGTCTGTGTTGCCGTTCTGGTGACTGTGTCTTGGTAACCCAGTGTGTGAGCTAACCTTTTCCCATGCTCCTGGGTTAAGGTAATATAGTAAAACTGCTTTTGATGCACTTTCTTTTTAGGCTCCTGAAGGTGAATCTCAGCCAATGACTGAGGTGGATCTCTTCATTTCTACCCAGAGGATCAAAGTGTTGAATGCAGATACACAGGTACCAGCTTGCTCCCACTGTTCTCAGAGGTGAAGGCCAATGGCCTTTCACACAGGCTCCCCCTACCTATAAAGTGGCTATCCCCAGGTTTTAGGTTGCTGCAACTTTGTGCTGAGTCCTGGAAACCTGACTGGGGTGACAAGGGAATGAAGAATGGACAGACACACACACACACACACACACACACACAGAGAGAGAGAGAGAGAGAGAGAGAGAGAGAGAGAGAGAGAGAGCTGGGATCTAGTGGACCATCCGTGTGTTCTGATGGAGATGTCCCAGCAGCAGCCTGGAAACTCAGTATGTTTACTTTATACACATCTGAACAAGGAGGCAGGTTTAGTTCATCTCAGTAGTAGGTCCCTCTAGCAGATCAGTCTCTGGCTACAAACACTGGGGAGGACAAAAATGGGTTCCACATTCTCCAACAATATTTTTTTACATCTACACATGGACCAGGGGAAGGCTTTGTCATCCTCATGGATCTGAGATATTGGGACCTTTGATGTAGCTGTGCCCATCAGTGATACACATTCACTGTGGACTTCATCCACTCCCACACTGGGCTGTAGTCAAGGTCAAAGACTTTTGTTCACAAAAGTCTGAAGCTAGGTAGGATTGTGACTAATTTCTTAAAGCACAAAGGAAAACTCAGAATGTGTGTGTTGTCTGTCTCTCAGCTGAATTCTCTGGGAAAGGGGAATCATTAGCCTTAAGGAATTCTGTTTAAAAGTGCACGGTGCATGCACACGCACACGCATACGCACCTACACCTGTGGCATTTAGATTTTATCTTTTCATCTTCAACACCAGAGAGTCTACACAGTATAAAATGTTTGATATTTCTTGTTTTTCTCCTGTATATATCTCCTGTTTTTCATTGGCCAAGGAAAATGCCTTGGGCCTAGGTGGTGGGATTCAGAGTTCTAGCAATAAGTGCTTTGCCCTGTCCCACCCCAGCTGGGTTCCATCCTTAGCCTGGGAGAGGAAGAAGATGCCATCTCCCAAGTACTTGGGTCCTCCATGCCACTCACCTGCCCCACCCTTCATGTCTAGGAGCCTATGATGGATCACCCTCTGAGGACCATTTCCTACATCGCAGACATCGGGAACATTGTCGTGCTGATGGCCCGCAGACGGATGCCTCGCTCCAACTCCCAGGAGAATGTGGAGGCCTCTCACCCATCCCAGGATGGAAAAAGACAGTACAAGATGATCTGCCATGTCTTTGAGTCTGAGGACGTAAGGCTGGCTTCCCCAACCTCCCTCTGGGTGACCTGAATAGCTACTAGGTGGCCAGTTTCTCAGGACCTGATTCAGTCTGGCTCACCATAAATTAAATGTATTTTTTTGAGCACCTACTGTATGTCAGGCACTATTCTAGAACTGCAGATGCAGGGCTGAATAAAGTACATGAGTGATTCTTGGTGCAGGTTGAAGGGGGTAGAAAATAGAGAGATAAATCAACTTAATAAATTAGATTGGGGGAATGCTTTGCTGAAATACAAAACAGGGTCAACACAGAAGGACAGGACTAGTTCAAGTAGGGTAATCGCATAATTATTTTTTTTTTCAAGGAAGGGACATTTGAACAGAGACTTAAATAAAATGATATTGGAAATAGCAAGTGCAGAGGCCCTGAAGCAGGGGAGTTCTGAGTTTGCTTGGGGAGGAAGAGCCAGCAGACTTTGAAAGAGGGTGACCCAGATTGCCACTCTAAACAGGTCTTCATGGCACAGGGTGTTTTTAGAGAGAAATTCAGAGCTGTACAGAACTGTCCTGCTGTCACAGGTAGCGTCCCTCTTCCTCCCAGCCCCAGTGACAGGAACATCACCCCCTTGGCCCAGACCTTATGAATATGTTTGCTGCTCTGTACCAAGCCAGGATCCCTGACTCCATTCTAGCAGGAGGTGAGGTCAGACAAGGAAGATGCCTTCACAGCAGGCATTCTCTCATCCACGATGGCTCTACACCTACACTGCCTTAGCACCTGACCTCCCCCACCCCTGGGCACTTTTCCTCCTGGGACTTGCTTACCTAGCTGCAGTAAATTACCCACCTCAAGAAGTGAGGAGGCCAAGGTAGTCAGCCCCGCACTTCATAGAGAACCAGAGCTGCCACAGTTGTGGCTGCCGCCAGGAGACCAGGAGATGCTGACATTGACCTTCAAGTCTTAAGCAGCAATGCCCCTTCCTGTCTCCCTCTGCACCGTGCTTTAAGTAAGGTTGAGGCCAGGATGCAGCACAAGAGAAATAGATGGTGCCAGGAAAGTTCATGAGTAAAAATGCAGAATTTTTAGGCTCGTGGCTCTTGCAGGACAGAGAGAAGGCTCACCAGCCTGTGAGATCCCTGAAGGACCCCTGCTGCCTCCATCTGGCATGGAGTTCATAAAGAGTCGTTTCTTCCTCTCTAGTTTTTATCTAATCTGGGGAAGAACAGAATGACCCCAGTGGCTTTGTTTCCACCAAACTCTGGAGCAAACGCACCGTTCAGTAGCTGAGGGCTGAGCTGGGCTGGGCCCTCCCGCCTCCCCATGAACAAGCAGGTACAGGATGTCTGTGTGCACAAAGACCAAAAGAGTGTTGGGTAGTGTCCTCTATCAGGTTCTCTCCCTCAGTCAGGGGATCGCAGACAGGCTTGAAGCCACCCTCTTAAAGCTAGGATTATAGACATGCACAATTTTAGTCCAGTCCTCATGGTTATTCAACAAGCACTCTTAACCACTTTATTTTCTACAAAATAATTTATAGCCACAAGGGAAATGAAAAGGGAAAAGAGGTTAAGATTAAAATCATGACATTATAAATGCTTGGGTTTAGCCATCCCCAAAAGCATCATGAAGCAGCCAGACCTGCTTCCTTAAGTTTGGCTGTGAGAACTATATTGTATTTAATGTGATACTATAGATTCTTTCTGACATTTTGAATTGAGGGCTAAGCAAGAATCCTTATCTACACAAGCAGAATCTCCATGAAGCATGGTGAATGAACAGGCTGTTAAGGATGTGTGTAGTTGGATTTTCCTCTGTCTCCCAGTCCCACTGGACCAGTTTCTCTCCCTCCCACTGGTTCCCCACAGCTGCTTATGAAATAACACTCTAAGGCTGATTATTAAAGTATATTTGTTTGGCCATTGGCTCAGACCTATTACTGGCTAGCTCTCTCATAAATTAACCGATATCTATTAATCTATGTATTGCCACGAGACTGTGGCTTACAGGTAATTCTCCAGTATGTTACTCCTTTGGCGGTTATATGGCATCTCCATGACTCTGCTTTCCTTCTTTCTGCAGCTTTGTTTGGATTTCCCACCTAGCTATATTTTTTACAGGCCATTGGCATTTAGTCATCAACCAACAAAAACAACGCATATTCATTATTCAAGGCATACAGAAGGACGTCCCATGTCAGATGTGATCACTGACAACTTATGCTATGACCACAAATGATATGGATGATTTTAAAAGACATGAAACTTACTTATAAAATCTCAAAGGGTCATTTTTCCTTCACTTTGCATAGTATTACTCTTAAAATCTGCAGTGTAGCCTGGGCAACCAATGAGTTCTTGTATTTAAACAAACTAGAATCCAGCCATGGATTCTGTGATTAGAAACAGGTGTTGCATAAAATGAATGTCCAGTGAGATATCTAAAATTGTGCAGGATGTAGAAGAACTTGTCATTGTGTATGACTGTCCTTTGATTAGTAGGATGTCCAGCATCTCTGACTCCTGTCTCCTGAGTGCCAATGACTCCCTTATTAGCACAGACATAATAACAAACAATGATTTTTTTCCAAATAGTTTCTGCTAGGCACTGGTACCCTGATAAAGAATGACTTGGTGATCTGCTGTTTAGAACCCTCAAATGCCACAAGGAATGATCCAGAGGTGCATATTCCAGGAATTTCCCCATTTACCACTGTCTTCCTCCATGCTGCTGCTACAGGCCCAGCTGATCGCACAATCCATAGGACAGGCATTCAGCGTGGCATACCAGGAATTCCTCAGGGCCAATGGGATTAACCCAGAAGACCTCAGCCAGAAGGAATACAGTGACCTTCTCAACACCCAGGACATGTACAACGATGACCTGATCCACTTCTCCAAGTCGGAAAACTGCAAAGATGTAGGTACTTCCCAGAACTTGTTTCCATGCTGAGCCAGCTGGCTGGGGCCCTAGAGGGTGGGGCAGCCCCACCCACACCCACACCCACCCACACCCCACCCCTGCTGTGGAAGGAGAAGCTGAAAACAGCAGTATGGACAGCACATTCTGTGGCTCACATTCCTATCTCTGACTTCCTCCCAGGAGACCCTGTCATTAAATACTATCAAAAGCAAGTATAGCTGATGGCTGAACAGCCTCTGCCTGTTGAGGGAATTCTAAAGGTATGGATACAGGTCCTGCCCTCTGTCCTTATGAAGCCCACAGTCTAGGAAAGGGCACTGAAAATGGTCAGTGACATGCCAGCTCAAGCACTGATGAAAGACACTATACTTGACAAGAGAGAGATCACATGATCACACAATAGGCGCTTCACCCTCTGATGTTGCAGACTGAGCTCTGCAGGATGTCTGGAGGGAGCCAGAGCCAACCAGGCTGGTCTGGACTTCTAGGTCACTGGAATATTCAGGTCAGCAGAAAACCCGAAGGTTAGAATCCTGGGTGTCTTGGGTTAGACTCTTTGGACCACAACCTAGAAGAGGACTCTTGTTCAAGAGGTTTGATGGAAGCCTGCACTTAGAGCAAATGCAGAGTTGGGGGAGGTACTGAAGAAGACTATGGACTTTCTGGGCAAGACCTTCCTTCTGAACCACAGGGACTTAGAGGTAGCTGTACCCTCTGTCCATATTGACCTGGAATGTGTAGGGATATATTATTGGCTAGGCCTGCCATAATAGACCCCACAGATGAGGCAGCTCCAACAGTAGACAGGAACTGCCTCTTGCACAAAGTCAAACTGTTGGTAAGTTTGAGTCCCCAGGGTTTGGAAGAAAGGCTGTGTTCACACCTCTCTCCTTGGCTCACAGATCTCCTCATGGGGAGAACCTCAAATCCTAGTGTCATCTTCCATGTGTCCTCTTATAAGAACACCAGTCACACACTGGATTGGAACATGCTCTAGTCCTCAGTTTAGCTCGGTTGCCTACATGAATACATTTGCTTGGTGTTAAGACACAGGAGGAAGATTAGAACCACAACACAGGAGCTTAAGTGATGGGGAACCATCCAGTGTGTATCAGGACTGTCTCCCACTTGGCTTTGGGAAATGCTTTAGGGAAGGAGCCCACTGCTATTTAAGCTGCTGGGAGGAGTGAACAGCATCTGTGATGGTGGCTTTGCTGGGCCCCAGTATATATGTATGCAGACTCCACTGAAAGGGTCTTTCTTTTCCTGGCTTCTCTGCATAACCCCATATACTACCACTGTCCAGTACTAACTCTTGCCTCTGTGCCAGCCACCAGAGGTCACAAACACACTATGTCCAGGATCTGTTCTTGCCGTGTGCACCCCTGCCTTTTGGCCATGGCAACTTCAGGGTCACTCTCTTTCCTTGTCTTCCTCCTTACAGAGAAGTGTTTCATGTATTAATTTTTCACTCAAAAATCTTAAATACCGAAAATAATTTACAGAGCACTGTGAAATGAGAAAACCTGTGCCCCAGCCTCCAAAGGCCACTTATGGATTAAGGTGTAACAGACACCAATGCTCTCACTACAAAGCACAGCTGATATTTCAAAAGAAAACAGAAAAGCCTGGTGCCCTTGTGTTTGTGTGTGAGGCCAGATTGGTCATATGAAATGAGGGTGAATGCCGAGGTCTAAACAGGTTTGTGTGAAGTGATGTCTTACAGCCCTAGATGCCATGCATGTAGAGAAGATAGGAGCTCACCTGGACTGACATCCTCAAAGAACTCTCTTTTCCCCCCACACAGGCAGGGGACCAGCTCTGATACCTATCCCGTACGGCTGCTGATACGGGCTTTCTACATGTTTTCCTCCTTCCAGGTTTTCATAGAGAAACAGAAAGGAGAAATCCTAGGAGTCGTGATTGTAGAATCTGGCTGGGGATCTATTCTTCCCACTGTGATCATTGCCAACATGATGCATGGAGGCCCTGCGGAGAAGTCAGGGAAGCTGAACATCGGGGACCAGATCATGTCCATTAATGGAACCAGCCTGGTGGGCCTGCCTCTGTCCACATGCCAGAGCATTATCAAGGTACCAAGGCATGACAAAACCTTCTCAGTAGCAGACCTGAAATGATGTGAAATGTGACAGCCATCCAGTTCTCAAAACTTGTGAACACATTTAAGCCCAGGCACTTAGGAAGACCCAGTTACAAGCGGTATGGACTTGTACTCAAAGCAGCTCACCCTCAAGTTACCATTGTAAGTTTCTCCATAGGTCAGGATCACAAGTAATATGTGAGGCTTACATAACACCTGCATCTAATCCAATGCTCATCATAGGTATAACTCATCAGTTAACTCACTTCCTCCCACGTAACCCAGACTCAGCCCCAGCATGATTTCCCTCCGTTCAATAACTCATAGTCCCGATGTATGTGATGTGATTCACCACCCTCTTTAAAGCTCATGGGAATGCTTCAGCTCCTCAGAGGATCTCTAGTGTGGCTCAATCTGCTCCTTTCCGAGCCACTGCTTGAATGGCACAGGGAAAAAACCTGCTCTCGTCCACAAGATGCCATCGCTACAGAAGAGTTGCTTAAAGAAAGTGATTGTGACAATTTGAGGGAAAACTGGGTTTTCTTCTTAGCACTGTGGCATCTGTATACATAGCCTTTCGAGGACACTGATCCTTGTTGCTTGTGAAGCCTGTATGACACTATAGCATCTTTGGCCCCAGAACCCCAGCAAGTGGGCAGACTGGGGTGCTCAGCTTTCCTTTGTCCTGGGGGTTTCAAGGAGAACACCACCCAGGAGGGCAGGGAGTGAATACATCTGTACAGTAGTCATTCTTTGCCCGAGAAAACCCTCAAAGCCAACACCCTCATCCAAGGAGCTGGGGCAAGGCTGCAGGTGAGCATAGGAGGCAGGGTGACAGTCATCCGTGAGGTACACTTGTTGCTCAGTATACAGCCACATGTGGAGAAGTAAGTTCTGAGAGAGGTGTCATTAGGCATTTTTTATAAACTTTTGTTGTTGTCTATACATTCCAACCAAAGGTTCCCCTCCCTCCCCTCTTCCCAGTTTCCCACACACACCTCCCTTCTACCCTGCCCCGTCTATTCCTCCTCTGCAGTCTCTCTTCAGATACAGACAGGCCTCCCAAGGATATCAGCCAGCTACGGTACATCAATTGCAGTGAGACTAGGCTTCTCTTCTATTAAGGCTCAGTGAAGCAATCCAGCAGGGGGACCAAAAACAGACACCAGAGTCAGAGACAGCCTCTGCTCTCACTGTTAGGAGTCTCACAGGCAGACAACGTTATAAAACTATAACACATATGCAGAGGGCCTCGGTCAGTCCCATGCAGGCTCCCCGGTTGTTATTCTGTCTCTGTGAGCCGCTATGGGCCCAGGTAAGCTGATTCTATGGGTTTTCTTGTGGTGTCCTTGACCTCCTTGGCTTCTACAATCCTCCCTCTTCCATAATATTCTCCAAGCTCTGCCTAATACTTGGCCTTGGGTCTCTGCATCTGTCCCCATCGGTTGCTGGGTGTGATAATTTGAATATAATTAGCCTCCATAATCTCATAGGGGGTGTCACTATTAGTAGGTGTGGCTTTGTTGGAGTGGGTATAGCCTTGTTAGAGAAAGTGTGTCACTGTGGGAGCAGGCTTTGAGGTTTCCTATGTTCAGGATACCAGCCAGTGTCTCGGTCAACTTCCTGTTGTCTACATATCAAGATGTAGCCAGCACCATGTCAGCCTGACACCGCCATGCTTCCCACCATGATAATAGCAGGCTAAACCTCTGAAATCACAATTAAATGTTTTCCTTTGAAGATTTACCATGGTCAGGGTATCTCTTCACAGCAATAGAAACCCTAACTAAGACACTGGGTGAAGCCTCTCAGATGACAGAATAGCAGATTATCATTAGGAATCATTTCATTGGGTTTTTTTGTCTTGTTTTTTGTCAGTTGGGTTTAGTTCTATTCTAGTTCTCTGGGGTGTACCACCTGTGGGTCCTGGCCCTCAGGGGTGAGCTCTCTCTCAGGGAATGGGTCTCCATCTGTGCCAGTCATTAGTTGGTCACTCCACAATTTCTTTGCCACATTTACTCCTAGCACATCTTGTAGGCAGGACAGATTATAGGTCAAAGGATTTGTGGCTAGGGAGACATCCCAATCCCTTCACAAGAAGTCTTGCCTGATTACAGGATATGGCTGTTTCCAGCTCCATATCCCCCATTGCTAGGAGGCTTAGCTAGATTCCTATAGATTCCTGGGAGTTTCCATTGTTCTAAGTTTCTAGCTCAACCCAGAGATGCTACCAGATTCCAACTGTCTCTCCTAGTACTTTCTCCCTCCGTCTTCCCCCATCCTAATCTCTTCTGTTCCCACCCCTATTCCCCTTTCCAGGCCCCTTTCCCTGTCCACTGACAATGTCCATTTTATTTCTCCTTCACAGTGAGATTAATGCATCCCCCACTCCCCTTGAGTCCTCCTTGTTACTCAGCTTCTCTTGGTCTGTGAGCTGTAGCATGGCCCTCCTTTACTTTACAGCTAATATCCACTTATGAGTGAGTACATGCCATGTTTGTCTTTCTGAGTCTGTGTTACCTCACACAGGATAACCTTTTCTAGTTCCATCCATCTGCCAGCAAATTTCCTAATATCATATCATTGTTTTCAACAACTGAGTAATACTCTATTGCATAAATGTATCATAATCCCTTTATCCGTTCTTTAGTTGAGTTACATCTAGGTTGTTTCCAGTTTCTGACTTTTATAAATAAAGCATCTATGAACATAGTTGTGCAAGCACTGGCACAGGAGACAGCTTCCTGAATAGAACACCGATAGTGCAAGCACTAAGATTGATAATTAACAAATGGGACTTCATGAAACTGAGAAGCTCCTGTAAGGCAAAGGGCACTGTCAAAAGGCCAAAATGACAGCCCACAGATTGGGAAAAGATCTTCACCAAACTCACATCTGACAGAGCTGATATCCAAAATATATAAGAAACTCAAGAAACTAGACATAAAAACAAAAACCAAAAAAAAAAAAAAAAAACCAAATAATCCAATTTTTAAAATGGGGTGCAGATCTAAACAGAGAATTCTCAACAGAGGAATCAAATGGCCAAGAATCATGTAAAGAAATGTTCAACATCCTTAGCCATCAGGGAAATGCAAAGCATTAGGCAGTTTTGTCATTTTCCAAACATCAAAGAGTATTTACATAATTTAGGTCAGTCAGTCACCTGATGTTGCCTTGTGGTAAAACCAAGAGAGACAGTAATTGTAGGACCCATGAGGTGGCTAATAGCGTTACACAGCATACTGTCTTATGATTAATGTGTTTTAATGAGTAGGAGTACAGTGTAAAATAACAATATAAATACAGCAAAATAAATATGTAAGCTAGTACCATAGCCTTTATTAAGCATTTTGTTCATACATGTATGTGCATGTACACATGCTTTACTTTTATGCATAAATGTTGGCAATGCAGTGAGCTTACACAAATGTCACCAAAGACATGAGGAGTGAGTTGTACTGTGGTGTTAAGATGCCTGTGGAGTCTTCAGGTGTCTTAGGATTGCTGTGAAGAGACATTATGGCCATGGCAACTCTTATAAAGGAAAACATGGTAACTCTTATAAAGGGAAAACATTCGATTGGAGCTGGCTTACAGTTTCAGAGGTTTAGTCCATTATCATCATGGCAGGACATGATGGCATGCCAGCAAACTTGTTGCCAGAGAAGGAGCTGAGAGTTCTGTACCTTGATCCACAGACAACAGAAAGTGAACTGTCACACTGGGTGTAGCGTAAGCATATGAGACCTCAAAGCCCACCTCCACAATGACATACTTCCTCCAACATAGCCACACTACTCAAGAAGGCCACACCTCCTAATAGTGCCACTCCCTATGGACCAAGCATTCAAACACTTGAGTCTATGGGGAACCATACCTATTCAGACCACCACACCAGGTAATAGGAATTTTTCATTTCCAGGATTGTCTTATAGGACTGTGTCGTATATGTGGTCTAGTTGACTAAGATCGCTGTGCAGCACATGGCTATACAGTAATGATGAGATCAAAAAGTCTGCTTAATGCAGAGATTCATTCAGATATGTCTAATTGACCTTAGTTAGGTGCTCAGATGAACCATGGAGAATTCATGCATGGACAAAATCATTACATTGCTGAAAGGGGGTATAGCAACATAGAAGTGTAAGGCTGCAAGAGGAGAGGAGGAAACATCTGACTTTGGAAGTTTAATTTGACTTTGATAAAGTTAAAGTCCAGGTTTGCATCAGGAAGGACAGTGTGTTTAGAAGTTTCTGCTTGAATTGGCAGCCAATGGGCTGGCATGGAGTCCAGGGGAAGAACTCAGCCTGACCTGCAAGGGTTGATCTGGTGTTGTCATGGTGACCTTTCCTGAAAGGCAGGACCACTGCCCACTGGCTTGTCCCCTCCCTTCTGTCCTGTGAACAGATTATGTGTGTGTGCATGTGAGAACTTCAAGGGCCCAGACAGTGGGTAGATCCTCACCGAGGAGCTGGGCCTGGCAAAAAGAGGTGACTGGCCCCACAGTTACAGAAGCCAAGGGCTACGCACCCAACACTGAACAGAAGGTGGTTGTGGATTAACTCACTGAACTCATGGCTTCTGGTTGCTCATGAACTTCTATGCAGCAGGTACTATTGTCACTCACTATTGCTTGAGTAGGGAACTGAGACACAAAATAGCAACCACACAACTGGCCCTTGGTAGAGACAGATCACTCAACTAGTTAAGAGACATCCCCAAGGCACTCCCACTGTGGACATCCTCAGCCAGAAGTAATATTGCATGCCCCACAAGCCTGGAGACTGCCTTGGCTATCTCACTGAAGACAGTACTACAGGCACAGCGCAATGCACAGGACAGCCCCCTCCACAGCCAAGACCTACCCAGCCCCATTGTTGATCATGTCGGCCTTGAGGATCTGTGTGTGGAGTGCAGCGTTCAGATATGCCAGGCAAAAATTGGTGAGTGAAGTTGGTGAGGGTGACTTTATGGGGAGTTGAACTGGGTCTGGAAAGGATATGAGGTAGGGAGAGGGGTAATTTAGACTGAATATTCCCCTTTAAAATCCATGCTGAGGCCCTAATCCCAGTGGCTTTGGGAGGTGATTAGGTCTTAAGGGTGATGCTTTCAGGAATTAGATCACTCCCTTTATGCAAGGGACCCTACGGGGCTCTCTGCTTCTCTTCCTCTATGTAATGGCAACCAGAAGCCCACAGTCTACAGCCCTTGTCACCTACCTGCCAGCACTCCGATCTTGAGCTTTTGGCCTGCCTAACTATTAGAAGCCTAGTATATAATATTTTGTTGTGGCAACCCAAGCTGGCTTGTGTGTGTGTGTGTGTGTGAGAGAGAGAGAGAGAGAGAGAGAGAGACAGACAGACAGACAGACAGACAGACAGACAGAGACAGAGAGAGAGAATGAATGAATAAGAGAAACGGGTGAAGGTGGAAATAGATCTGGGTTTAAGAAGCAGGAATTTCTGGTAACTCCCAACCTTATGTCAGTGCCTAGCCTTGCAATAAGCCACCCTCTACCTGGAGCCCGAAAGGCTCAGGGTTCCCAGCTGGCCATCCATTAGACCCCAACTTTCCTCTCACCCACCCCAGATGAGGGACCAGATGAGGGACCATGGCATCAATGAGGTCAGCCTAACCACCTTGACTGTTGCCTGCAGACTCCCTCAGCTTTATCCACAAATTACCAATTCAAAGTGAAAGCAAAGCTTGCTCAAATGCAAACGGAGGGGCCCTGGAGCTTCCTGTGGAGGAAAGGTCAGGTCATTTGAAGAGTTGAACTTTGAGCCAGGCATTGGTAGCACATGCCTTTAATCCCAGCATTCCCAGCATTTCTGAGGCAGAGGCAGGTGAATCTCAGTGAGTTTGAGACCAGCCTGGTCTACAAGAGCTAGTTTCAGGACAGCCTCCAAAGCCACAGAGAAACCCTGTCTTGAAAAACCAAGAAGAAAAAAGAGCTTAACTTTGATGTCAGCAGAATCCCCATGACTGGGAAGATGAAAAATCCATGTGATGATGAAAGTGACAACTGCTGAAGAGGGGGCCTGAGAAAGCCGTGGGGGCCTCCCTCAGCAGAGATGCACACAGCAGGCTGGTCCAGGTAGAAACTGCTGAACACTCCCAAGTATTCCGAGATTCTTGGCTTTGTGGAACTGAAAAATGAGATAGCCTGCCTGTGGCTTGCCTTGGCTGAGGAACTCCCAACACCAAATGAGGACTGACATTCAGTAGATTCAGTGCCATTCTTTACGGTTTTCTACACATCACCCCACTCTGCCTGGACCTTGATAGATGCTCACACTGCTGTGCCCACAACCCCTCAGCCATGGCAGGGGAATGTCTGGGCGTCAGAGCAGGGGGATGTCTGTCTGGGTGTCAGAGCTCGCCTGTCATGCTGCTCATTTCAGTAGGTCACCGTCGTCTTGATCAGTCATTGCTTCTCACACTCGCCCGAGCCACCAGGGATCCTGTTGAAGTGCAGGATGTATTCCAACAGTCTTTAATGGGACTCTGCTTGGTGGCAAGCTCCTGGGGAAGGTGGCAGTGCAGCTTGAGGGAGGGACAGGAGTCTACAGTGATGTGCCCTTGTCTTGCCACTTTGATGCCCATTGGCCTTTCTTCCCCCAGATTACGAGGAGGAGAGGAGAATGTGTTTCTAGATACAGAAACTCTCTGAATTCTTTTTTGCCTAGATCTTAACCTTCCCACTTGTAGTTCATTCCTAAAGCAGGGCCATTTGTAGGCGAAGCATGAAAGCATCTTTCTGCTCATGCCCTTGCCTCCAAGTCCTGCCCTCTAGACTTGTTCTTTTCTGACCCGGTGCCCAGCTTCCCTTTTCTTCTCAAGAGTATCATGGGTTTGCACTTGTTGCTATAGCTACCACTCTGGCTTCTTCCCTCCCCGCTATATTTCTTAATTTGCTGTGTCATTATTCACTGTTGTCATGGAAACGAAATGACCATTTATTTAATTGGCACCTCCAACAAAATGGCAGGTTGGAAATCTAAGTTCATGGGACCCAACTTGTAACACTGATTAGGGAGAGCAGAGCAAATCATGTGCTGGTTATTTCAAATTGCCACTTCTGAAGCCTTATGTTGAAGCACATTTTCTCCAGTCTTAAAAATTATTTTGCCAAGGGACCCAACAGGCATCTTAAATCAACTCAGCAGAGTGATGGGAAATTCTTAGGTAATGCTGAGAAAGTTGTTTCATTGGTATATTGTATAAGGTCTTCCAAATGGCCTGGGCAGTTAACAGGTACAAGCATTTAAACAGGTGGCTTTGTGTGAAGGACATAACTCCTACAGGCAGGCCCTGTCACTCTCTGTTCATGTCCCACAAATTCCTGGCAGGTGCTGTGTGACCTGCAGGGGATGTGGTAGGCAGGTGTGGTAGGACTCAAGCTGCCTGGGCTCCGGTGTCTCTCTGTGCTCTCTCTTAGCCTCTCATGTCCCCCACCACCACCACCCCAGTTCTAAGAGACCTAGTAAATCTTATTCCCACTAGCGTTCAGTGCCTAACCCATTTCTTGTCATGTAAGTGATTTTTCAGTGAACAAAAAAGAGGAGGTATGCAAGGAAAAATATAATATATACATAGCCAAGGTCCAGTCTGCCTCGCTTATGGATAGCTTCTTTGATGTCAGGGACCAAGTCTGAGTTTTGAAGTTTAAGAGCTGAGTTTCAGTGTCCTGAGTTAAGGCATTTAGGAAGATTTTATAGAAACTGGACCTGGCAGTATCACCAGTATCACCGTGGAGAAATTCAGGTAGAGCAAAGTACCTAAAAGTGCCCACCTTATGGTAAAGGAAACAGGACAGACTCTCAGGTCTAGGGACATCAGCACTATCTTCCTCACCAGGCTATGCTTGTCTCAATGCTGGGAGCAGAAAGCAGACCCTCTCTCTCTGTTGACATGGCAATGAGACTTGATGTCAACAGAAGGGTGAAATCTGTTACTGGCATCTTATGGAGACATACACTGTCATTCTACTGCACTGAAAATACCATTCCTTCACCAAGCGGTTCTCTAGCCTGGTTCAGACACTGGGGACACTGGCAATGCCAGTGTGAGTAAGAGCATCAAGTCACATGGGGTTATCTTGGACCTGAATAAAAGCTAGCTTTTCCCCAAATCCCTGGCCCTGCCCCCTCAAATTGCTACTCCCCCCTTCTCTCTCCCCAGGAGTGTGCACCCACCCCAAGACCCTTTTAGCCTTGCTCCCTTTGAGGAGAGTCTAAGCAGACCTTGAGCCATTTCCTAGTCAGCTGGTCTTGGCAGATAGGAGTCCGGTCAGGCAGGCTTTAACAGCAGGGCCTCCATCAGCGTGGTGGATGCAAAAATGACCACTTCTATGCACAGTGTCTCTTGAACATGGATGTGAAACATCTTCTTTGGAGCCTCTCCCTGCTGGAGAGCCTGGGCAGGGAAAGAATCAGAGCTTTGAGCATGCTGTCTTCAGAGCATCTGCTCTGGCAAACAGGCAACCCCAGGTAGAACAGGCCATCCTCAGAGCCAGCAGCACTGGAGGGGGCATGTTTATTTCTGGGCTGACTTCTGCCTGGACCATACTTTCTCAGCATGTAGCTGATGAGATGGTAGGTGGGCCTGCCTGAGGGATGGATGATGTGGCTAGTGTGTAGGAAGCGTCAAACCAGCTCTGAAAACCATTTCCGTTCATAATTAAAGGCCAGCTTTTCCTCCACAATTCATTCCGGCCTAGAGGAGGGGCGGGCAGCCAAGGATGAACCCGTGAACAATCTTAATGTTTCATTTCTTCTTCACGATCCATCGCCTCTCAAGGAGCAAATACTCACTGGAGCTTCCAGTTGTAGTGGGAATACCCATGAGCTAGAAGATGTCTCCAGAAGTAGAGTGGGGGAGAGGAGGGCAGAGACCGGAGAGAACAGCTTTGGGGATGAGCTGCTGCTGTGAAGTGTACATCCTTTGTTAGGAGTCTCTGTTAGAGTCTATTGTGTAGAGGAAAGAGCCCATGTCCCATGAGGCTTTGGACCAAGGGTGTATATACCCTCAACTTCCACCCACATGAGACTCTTCTTCTTACAGCTGTCCTTTTGCCAGGTCCCTGGACACAGTCCATTTTCCATTCACCCATCTCACACAGGCAGAATGGGTTCCAGGGAGGGCTCAGGGCGATGGCTCCAGCTCAGATGCACACAGCCTGTCTGCATGTGTGGGTGCTGCCTCTGTGTCCGGTCACGTCTGCTGTTATGTACTCTGCCTGACTCGGTGGTCACCATCTCCGCTGTGCTTTGTTCATGTTCAAGGGCTTAAAGAACCAGTCCCGAGTAAAGCTGAACATTGTGAGGTGCCCTCCGGTGACCACAGTGCTAATAAGGAGGCCAGACCTTCGCTACCAGCTGGGATTCAGTGTCCAGAACGGAATTGTAAGTGCACGTCACACCACACCCTTTTCCAAGATACTGACAAATGGCAATGAAGGTATACTGGATTTTTTTTTCCAGCTTTATCTTTTCATTCAGTAAATACATTTAGGGTTTTTGGTTGTAATTTCATCTGTTTGGGATGGAGTGTACTGTTAAGCGTTCTACCAAGGAACCACAGCCCTAGCCCTAAACCCTTGTTCTTACCTCCAGTGTAGAAATCAGCTATGGAACATCTGACCTGAGAGCATCTTAGAGCCAGAAGGACCCACTCACTCCAGGCCCACCAAACTCCCCTGCTGCAGGTCTTGCCTGCATCAGCTTCTGAATAGTACAGATGCATGGTCCAGGGTATAAAGTCAGCTTTACTGAGCTCACAGTCACTCTTGTTCAGAGCGTAAGGCGTAGCCACCCCAACCTGCCATGCTGGGAGGGCTCAGTCACCAGTGGGCACATCCTAACCATATGCAGTGGCTGGCTATACCATTGCTTCCTCCCATGTCAGAAGTGAGTTTGGCCAAGGACCACCAAATCAAGAACAACAACAGGCACCTCTCCCCCCAAGCCCCACCATGGACCACAGTAGGCTTCTAGAGCCTCTTCAGATCATGCGGTAGTGGTCCCCAAATACAAGCTCTAGCATCAATCAGTTCCAGGGCTAAGCCTGCTTGAGACTAGGGAAGGCTGACTGAAACACTGGCCGCCAACAGACAGGCCCAACACAGATGGAAAGTGGTCAGAATTGAGCGCGCTAATAAGTTCACACCTGTCACACCCATATGCCAAGTCTGCACAAGGCAGCCTTGTGGGCCCCCAGAACCTACTTTTACTGCTGCTGTATACGTGCCAGGGATGACACACGGGATCTTGTGCATGCCAGTTAAAAATTCAACCACCGAGCTCCGTACCAAACCATAGAACCCATTGTTCATAAAAAGAACCTGAGAGATTTTAATGCCCCAAACCTCACCAAGTCAGCTTCTAAGGGGAGCTCATGCCAGAGCGCTAGGGCCCTAGGGAAGACAGTCTTCCTTCCATCCCCACATGGTTCACAGATGTAGCACTGCCCACTAAGTGTAACCTGATGTTTGCCTCTGGCAGATCTGCAGCCTCATGAGAGGGGGAATAGCTGAGAGAGGAGGCGTCCGCGTGGGACATCGGATCATTGAAATCAATGGCCAGAGTGTGGTAGCCACACCTCATGAGAAGATCGTGCACATCCTCTCCAATGCTGTCGGGGAGGTAGGGATGAGACCTGGGGCTGCACACAGGTACTGTGAGTGGCCCTGGCGCATGCTGGCCTTGCTGGGAACCTTCCAGAGCCCCCTTTCCCCTCCCTCGATGCTCCTCCATAGGCAGACCATTTGCCTCAGACCTGGGTGAAGAAGGCTCACTTGCCTTTAACACTCATTCTGTATTGCTACTCTCTCTGTGGTTTCCCAAATTCTCTCATTTTCCCCAATTAACTCCACCAAGTGTGATTGGAAGACACAAATTAGATCCAAGATCACAAAGTCACCAGCCCCCAGCACTGGTGTGGTCCTAACTACATTTCTGGGGTGTCTGTCCTTGCTTTAGTCACAGGCCAGTTTTAGATGGGCCAGTGCTCCCAGACTGCCAAGACAGGAGAGGGAAGCAAGCAGCCAGAAGCCCAGAGCCCTGCTTCCCATGGAGCTGCCTTTATTTTTCAAAGAGCTGTGAAAGCAAGAGCCTTTCACTGGGAAACTAAGCCTTACCCAGATTTTCTTATCATCTGCAGTCACCCCCCCCCCAAACTTTTCAGAAAGCCTGTGGGCTTCACTCTTCCTAAGCCAAGCCAGGCGATTGGGGGTGGGCTATCATGGAAACTGTGTATTATGAGAGGCTCCCCCACAGCTCACCTGGCTTTCCGCCCTCAGATCCACATGAAGACGATGCCAGCAGCCATGTACAGACTGCTGACAGCCCAGGAGCAGCCTGTTTACATCTGAGCCGCACCACCGCCGTGCGGTGCGGTGACGGCATGCATGGAGGACTCTCCTCGCCGCGAATGTGTTTCTTGTGCTGCTGCCCTCATCGTGTGTCCACAGAGACATTCCCCTCTCGCACCCAGCATCTGGTCTTACAAGGGAAGAGAAGAATCCGCACCGACCCCTTTGTGCTCTGTCTCTCTCCAGCTTGCTTTTTTCTGTTCCTTTGTCCCGGGGAAGTTTTGTGTGTGCCCCCTTGAGGGTGGAGGACAGCTAATCTCTACCTGGGATCATTGTGGAGGGCCTTCGAGGGTCTGATAGTGGTTGTCACTGCCCAGGAGGGCATCATCCCTCCCCCAAGAGCACATACTTCCCTGAAGTAGCTCCCAGAGGCAGCAGAGAAGCTGGCTGTGCAGTGCCTAAAACTCAGTTGCTGACCTCCTGCCCTCCCTTCCTCACCGGATGGAAGACAGTGGTGACCGGGACAGCCTGCCCTGTAGTTCGGGCTTCATACATTTTTTTCTGCCCGGAATTCCTGAGCCAGTTTTAGATCTCTTCCACAGTTCCTTTTAGTTTCATTGTGTGTGCTGATACAGGCCTAAGTGCAGAGAAAAGGGGAAATAACATCCTGGACAAGGCTTCTGTGACACTGTAGAGATCCTGGGAAGTCACAGGGCCTCTGAGGCTTCCAAGAGTGTCCCAAGGTGCCAATCAGAGGGTAACCACAGGCAGGTACTATCTTCCTGTGTGCTTGCACACGCACTAACTACAGGTGTACCACACACACACACACACACACACACTCTCTCTCTCTCCCTGTAAAGTGTCTCATTTGCTCTCTACCTGTATTGAGGTAGCACACAGCCTTTGGGGAACACCCAGCACCCTTCTCTTAGCAGGAGGTTGACACATCCAGAAAACGGACAGCCTTGTCCAGAGAAAGAGGCCCTCCTGGCTGGGGCCTGCCCCTCCTGATCCCACGGCTCTAAGACTCCCCCATCCCACATACACACTGGAGGTTCATGAGAGACAAACTGTGATATGGGTATCCCAGTGTCATGCTTCCTGCCCCAAGGCTAAACCAGCCTGAGCCCTTTCACAGACACTTGGGAGGATGTGGCATTTCAAAGGCTAGATAGACTAGATAAGTCACAAAACCAAGCAGACTTAATGCTTGGTGTTGGGCCTAGGAATCCCCAAATGTGCTCCCGAAATAGCATCTACTGTCTTCTAGGTCTGGGAGTTAGCAGCTGGTGCGGAAGGCTTGATGTTTCCATCAGGTGCCTCATGTTCTGAACTATGTCTCAGTCTAGCACATGTGTTTTCGTATTATTCTGAGCCAGTGTCCACTTATTCTTGGTCCAAAGAGCAGTTTGTTTTCATGTGGGACGTGGCTAGCTTTTGCTTTTGTTTTGTTTCATTGATGACCTCAGTAGAGACGGGGGAAAAAACTAATATATTTTGTAATATGAATATAGTCCCTGTTCTCTGCATCTGGGATTTTTATGTTATAGTGTCTATGGAGATGGGAGTTCAGGGAGCAGTGTTAGGGAGGATGGATTTATGGAGGGGAGGGTGGGGTCTGGGGGAGGGAGAGATGGGACTATAACAAGATGAGGAACAAGAGGCTTCAGACAGGGAGGGAAGCAGGCACTCCCTGGGGTCTCTGACCTCATGAGTTGTCTGGGCAGAATCAGGAAAGCCTGGTGTTTGCAGAGATCTGCAGGGGAGCCCTCGGTTTACTCTAGTACAGAAAGTTCCAGTGATGCCAGGCTACCATAGCAGCCTGAGAAGGGACAGGGCTGCCACTGCTAGAGAGCCCTGTGGCATGGGGACCACAGGAGTTGAGCTATCTGAACTTGTTTTTAAGAGTGTCCAGCAGAATGCTCCAGGGTAACCAGGCCCAAGATCAAACCCCAGGAAGTGTGAGGAGCAGGATCAATGCCCGGATTTTCTTCCCCTCTCCTAAGATAATTAATATGCTGGGTATCCAGTATCATCACACACTGAAAAGTGCAGTACAGTGCTCCTCCACCAAGAGTGATGGAGAGGACAAAAGAGATATCATTGCTGGCATTTCAGGCATTTGGGACCTTGGAAAGTCTATTGAGAGGCTTATGCCACTATGGGGACATGCCCAAGTACTGGGACAGGAAGGCAGGAGGACAGCAGAGGCTGGCCCGGGACTGGTCAGGGACAGGCTCCACAAACATGTCACTCCCAGTCTAACCCCCAGATAATCACATCCCAGGGAAAGAGGAAAGAGAAAAATATTTTCCATTTTTGTTGCACCATGGAAGCTTTAAGAGGGCCTGAAAAGCCATGCTTTTCTTGTGAGCTTTTCTAGAGAATTAACAGTTGAGCGTGACTGTAAGATTACCTAGTCTTTTGTGTTAATCAGAGTGGTTCCTCGCACCCTGAGGGAGAACTGTTGGAGCTTGACCCAGGCCCCTGGCTGAAGCCTACCCTCCCTCAGTTGGCATCAGGCTGTGTGGTTAAACTTGGGGTCAGGTCTTGTCTGGCATCCTCATTTACATGGTTACATATGTAAACATCTCATCACCCCAGTGATGAGACCAACTATGTACTCAGCAGCCTTCTCCAAACTGCAAGGCACAAAGCCACTCTGCCCACTCAGTTGGGACATGATGGTGACTCGGCTTTGGGGACAGGCTCCCAGATTCACCACCACCCCCCAAACCCCAGTTCAATGAGGTTGCACCACAACCCACTCTGCCTTTGCCTTCTCCAGCAGGAGCATTTCAGGGAGCCACCATCAGTTCATGAGAGGAAGAAAAAGCCTCGCAGATCAATGGCTAGAGCCCGCTTCCTGAGCGATACCTTCCTCCCACACCGCAACAGGCTCCTGGGGTAGAGCACACAGCAGGCTGCCACCTCCCTGCACACGGGTTTGCTTTCTGAACATTGGCCTTCAGGGAGTCCAGAGTAACCTACTACCTCCCCCATTGCTCCGCCTCCCTCCTGCAGCCCCGCCTCCCTCCTGCAGCCCCGCCCACACCTATGCTCCCTGTTGCACACTGATGAAAACCCACCCACAAAGCCCTGCTCGGGTCTCTTCCCCCACTGGTGTAGCTGTCACCAATGTTTACAACCAAGGGCCACCTCTTGCTGATGTTGTAACTCTGCACCTTCACAAGGCTATCTGTTGGTTTGCGTTTCACCTCTGTCTGCTCCTTTCCCAGGCTAGGGCCCACCTGAGCACACAACTCTGATTTCATTTTCCCTCCACCGAGGCAGTGTGATGACCGTGTGGGAATGAAATCTCTTGTACATACTTAGCACAGCACCTGGAGTATGAACCCGCACCCCCATTCTGTAACGGGGTGCATTAGCGCTTACTGTAAAACATCGGGAGAAGTATAGTATTGTATTTGTAACAATATCGTTCTTTGTATACACGAAACTCAATGATCTCTATATATAAATATAAATATATATAAATAAAATATATCTACACGTGAGCCTGGAATGTTGACACTGCACACCCACTGAATGTATTTCCTCTGACAGTCTGGTCACCAGTCCTGACCCACCCTCCCCTTCTTTGTGCCGTGGCTGCAGTTGTCTGGTTTGGGGTTGTGACGTATTTAATGTGCTATCTCCTTATTTAACTGAACGCTAACGTCTGTATAAGAATTGCTGCAACAATAAACAAGGACTTCACCTCTTAGCCTGGCTGAGTGCCTTACTGTTCGTTCGAGGGAGGATGGGGCTCTCTGTGCAGGGAGGATTTTGTCTTCCTTAATAGGCTGCTGCCAGCTCTGAGGATTGTGGGAGTGGTTGCTAGGCCGGTATTTATCTGGTGAAACTGGCTCAGTGACCTGTTCTCAGCCTCCTTGGGGCTCACTAAAAGAAAGAAATGACCCTTTGGGTGTCATGGGAGTATCATCATTGAGGGAAGAAAAGCCAAAATTAATCCTTCCCTCCACAATAAAAAACAGAAGTGGGCCTGAGCCAAAGTGGGAAACAGTGCCTCAGGGGACCAACCTGAAGATGCTGTGAGAATGCCCCAAAGCCTTTTACCCAGTACTCTCAGCAATTTCACTTTTCAAAGTTTTGTATCATGATTTTCCTGGTGCCAGGGGCATGAGTGGAGCAGGGAGCTCCCAAAAGAGAAGGCTGGTACCCAACTAGTGCCCTGGTCTTCGTTAGAGCATCATCTTCCTGGTCCTTCCTGAAAAACTAGCTGCAGGTCCCTTAGGGTCTGTGTTCTGCAGCTGCTAGAAGCCCTGGGAGGTAGAGGCTGGGGATTGCTGTTTTGTTTGTTTTTTTTTTTTTTTTTTTTTTTTTTTTTTTGTGAAATGTTTTCATCTGTTTTGCATACTGACCACAATTTCTCCTTTCTCCTCTCCTCCAGTTCCCTTCTCCTCCTACTCTCCTCCTACCCCAGAAAGGGGCAGGCCTCCCATGGAAGTCAACAAAGCCTGGCACATCAAGTTGAGGCAGGACCAAGCCCCTCCCCCTGCATCAAGGTTGGGCAAGGCAACCCAACTTGGGGAAAAGGCAGCTCAAGCACCAGGGACAGGTCCTGGGAATTGAAAAGCCTCATGGCAGCATGCTGTGCCCCAGCATCATGGGTCTTTGTCACAAAGCCTTATATCTCTGTAACAAAATACTAGAGGTTGGAAAGCTTTAAAGGATGGTAGTAGACAACTAGCTTCTTGAGTTCTTTGTATATTTTGGAGGCCATCCTTCTGTCAGATGTGGGGTTGGTGAAGATCATTTCCCATTCTGTGGGCTGTCATTTTGTTTTGTTGACTGTGTCCTTTGCCTTACAGAAGCTTCTCAGTTTCAGGAGGTCCCATTTATTAATTGTCGATCTTAGTGTCCGTGCTACTGGAGTTATGTTCAGGAAGCGGTCTCCTGTACCAATTTGTTCAAATGTACCTCCCACTTTCTCTTCTAAGGGGTTCAGTGTGGCTGGATTTTTGTTGAGGTCTTTGATCCATTTGGATTTAAGTTTTATAAATGGTGATAGAGATGGATCTATCTGCAGTCTTCTACAAGTCAGCATCCAGTTATGCCACACCATTTGTTGAAAATGCTTTCTTTTTTCCTTTGT